GCTACTCCAAATATTCATTTTGACGTCAGTAGGTAAAACATCTGAATTATAAATACTTACCTAGCTAATTTGAAACGTCGTTTAGATTTTATATTATGAATTATTATATTTTTTTTTGTAATTACAAAAATAAAATATAAGTATATGTATTTTCTCAAATTTTAAAATATTATTTAACATTGATTTATATTTTCATGAAAAGTGTATTGCATTTATATAGATTTAGGTATCAGATTTTTTCTTAGTCTGTGGTTAAAATGTCTAAAATATGTTCTAACAAGTATGGACCTTCCCCTTGAAAAAATTCTGGTTGTGCCACTGAGGAACAATGAATATAATTTGAATTGATTCAAAATTCACATCAAATACAATATGGATGATTATTCACTCCAATGCCAATGGAGGGGGCCTGATCCCCATGCCCCCCCCCCATTGTATATGGAACTGAGTCTTTTACACTATGACAAGGAAACATGTTTGTCAAATGTCAAATGCTTTTTTTTTTCGGAAGGGGAGCGGGATTTAACTCTAAGTTAGCTTCATCTGAAAAATAAATTGGATACAGCTTGCTACATCAACTGGGAAATCCAATGTATTAAAAATAATTACATGCAGTAATATATTTTTTTTTTAGAAAACGGGAACAGGATTATAATATGAAATTTTAGCATATAATTATTATTTTCTCTTTTTCTTTTTCAAATTTTCTAAAGTAAATGCTTTGGAGGTGTTTATACAATATAACAATAATAATTTATGAACAACAATAGTCAGACAAAAATGTTACATTGAACATTATTTTTTAGTTAATATTCTAGAAAAAAAAAATATATACATAAAATAATTATATATATCTATCTACCTATAAGGAAATTATTTTATATTTTATATGCAGAACATAAACAAGTATTTTACAATATTTTATAAATTGAATATTACCGTGTAATAGTTTTATATTTCAACTCGATACCCACTCAGAAAAATTCACATATTGTTATAATTTTGAGGTGGTCTTTGTGAATTTGATCTGTAAGTGGATGGCCTTGAAAAGGTGGAGTCCATTAAATTAGGTGGCGGACCATTTCGCATGCCATTTTGATTGTTTCCATATTGTCGAGGTGGCCTATTATTTTGTGTATTGATATTGTAAGGATGTGATTTATTGTAATAAGATCTCGGTTGTTGATTGTATCCGGTTGCGTTTGATGGTTGATTTATAACTGGTCTATTAAAATTATCATTAGAAGCTGTTTGAAAATTAGTAGAAGAACCATAATTCGGATTAAAATTATTATTGACTCTAAGATCAACATCTTGACTCATAGGAAAGTTGACATTTACATTATTAATAAATTGGTTTCTGCGTAAGTCTTGATCTTTTTGAAGGTGTTTGGCAGCGTATGAATAAATTGGATCTTTGTTGCTTTCAAAAGATAGATGTTGTCGTACTTCTGGAATTGCACCAGAATGAAGAAGACGCATTAATGATTCTCGACCTTCCCTAATTGCATTTGCTAATGGTGAATTTTGATCTACTTTTATCATTTGTCCATAAACAAGAAGAGATTCTGGCTTTAATTCGCTTGCTGGTCTAGATCCTGGTATCAAATCCATTAAACTTTCAACAACATTATTGACTACATCACTATCAGGGCCAAGATTTTCTTCGGCATCATCTTCAATAATTTCATCATTAGTCTTATATTCATTCCAAAACTTTTGGAAATTTTTTGGAATAGGTTTGGAGTAAGGAATTTTCTTAATTTGTCGAACTCTAGTTGTTTCTTCAGTAGAAGCAATATCTAAAAGTGGTATGGTATTATTGTCAACTAATGTTTTATTAGAATCTTCTTCATCAATGTCTTCTAAACCCATTCCAGGAATAGTAGATTGAGCATCAGCACACATATTATCTGTTTTTAACATGTTAGAAACTGTATTTACTGAGTGATATTTTCCAGTCATTTTATCTCCAGGTCTATTTCGGGTCCAAAACTTACAAGTGTAATCATTTGAACCAGAACACAAAACCTCACCTAATGGATGCCAAGCTAATGACCAAACAATACTGTCATGAGCTTGATCAACAGATCCAACAAATTTATCAACGCCCACGTTCCAAAATAATATAGCACCATCAGAACCACCACTACAAAATAAATTTTCATGATATGGATGCCAGGCTATAGTACTAGCTTCTTTTTTGTGACCTCTGAATGTTTGAACTTCATGGGAAAGATTTCTTATATCAAATAATTTTAACAAGTGATCTCTGGAAGCAGACACAACCCAATTACCATTGGCATTCCATTTAACGTCCATAACTGTACTTTTATGAGCGTGTAAAGTGGCTAATGACTGACCAGTTTTTGGGTCCCACAGTTTAATTGGCTGTTGATTATCTTTACTACCAGAAATTAAAAGACCTTTATGCGGATGCCAATCAATGCATTTAACATCCGCGCCATGTCCTCTAAGTATTTTTTCTTCTCTGTTAGTAAAAAAATCCCAAATGCGTATGGTTCCATCATCTGAACAAGTTGCAAATTTATCGTCTGATTGGCTAAAACTAATACCTCTAACAGCTTCATTATGCGCTTGAAACATCTTCACGTTATTCATATTTGATTGCCAATATTTAATGAAACCAGTATGGTCACCAGTGGTCATCCAGTTACCATTATGAGACCATACCATTGAACGAACAGGAGAGTCATGTGCTTGCAAAATAGTTTCAAAATTGAACGTTAGCCCATTCCATAGAGTAAATTCTCCGCTGGATGCACCAGTTATTAAACGTCTACCTTCAGGTGTCCATGCTAAACAAAATACAGGACATCGTACTTTATTAGTAACAGTTTTGACAAAAGCAGTAGTAACTGAATTTACAGAATTATCCACATAACACTGCGGAGGTAAAAGTTGAGGTGTATATAATATATCTGGCTGTAAAAATGGTCGATCTCTGAAATCTCGTTGCCAAATACGATTTTGAAGCATTCGAATTAGTGATGCGTTATAATCCACAGTTTTACGGAGACCTGATTTCCTCAAACGTTTGCCATCAAAATCTACATCAAGTGGTGGCGCACTTTTGTTTAGTTGATGCCTTGGTGGTCCACCCAGACTTGGGCCACGGATGTGTAAAGGTATAGGACCTTGAAACCTGTAGTTTGTCGGAACGAATGTATTTGTTGAAGGCGGCGGAATTGAAAAGTTTATTGGAGGTGGAGGTACCAAGAAAGAAGTATCCACAGTAATGGACATATTTGTGAACGGTTTAATACAAAATATTACTAAATGTAAGAATTAAAATATGTCATTACCATAGTGGCTACTTCCAAGTCCGATGCGAAATAAATATTTTACGTAGGTAGATCTTATAACAAAACACAAATAAAAAATCACTAGACACACTACACAGAACAAATGGACGGCGGCACGGAGCTATACTTAAAAGTTAATATTCACTATGATTGAAGATAATATTTTACACACAAATTAGGTATACACCAACAGGATCATGATGAAGATTGAAGCACTAGTGCACAACAACGCATGAATGCACGATGCGTCCCTAATCTCTATCAAGAGCGACATGGATTAAGAAATCAGATAATATTTTATTCCATGTATTTTATCAACTTCAACTGTAATCACTAATCATAAATCAAGTAATCAACATCACCTAACCTAAACACGGTGGCACGGACTGTGCCCGACTGTTTAACTTTAAACTTTCTGTTTTTTCCCTAAACTCTAAAGTTCCCGTTTGGTAACACAATAAAACAATCGAGAAAAGTTAATTAATATAAGCTATACATGCAGTAGAACAAGTCTTTTACACAAATCGAAGATATTTAACATTTGTGTTTAATTTCTATAGTAGATTACTCAAACATATAATTTGATAGGTATTGTATTACATCTGAAATAGCTCCTTCTGAAGATACAACTACCCCTATAGGCTGACAGACTTTGAAACATGAATACAAGACCATGATTTGTTTTTAAAATTGTATTTTGATTTTGTGGGAAATCTTTTCCAAGGTATTCTAACTAAAATTAAGTAACTTCCTTGCAGTGGAGTACAGAATTCACTAATGGCCCTAGGTCCCACTTGAAAATCGGGGGTAGGTCAGTGGTTGGTTGGAAATTTATTAAAATCGCCACTATTACTTGAAATAAAACTTGTGTTGTTGAGTATAATATTTTGGATTATGACTACTAGACTATGTGTAATGTGTACGATTCTCAATTACTATTGAGTATTTGAGTAGACCCCACATGGCGAAATAGTTCTAAGCTCCACTGCCTATTTGAATTAACATTAATACTCTCACAAAGCATTTTTCTTTTAATTACTAACTTCAATCTGACAATATGAGTAAGATGTGTGTATAACTTTAGAATGACCATGTTTTTCATGTATTTGTTGTGTTAGTTTAGTAATTTGACCATTAATATTTGAAAGAATGTTCCACTATTAATTTTATACCTCCATATTTTTTGAAAATTAAAATAAAGAAAACTTTTTGTCCTTATTAACTTAATTATTATCTTCTTTATTAATTAGTAATTACACAGGTTTTATTCAATTTATAAAATATATATACTTATATGTTGCATAATTATATGAACTAATTGAACTGTAAAGTAACTTTTTACAGACATTGGACAATGCATGTATACTGTAGATAATCCATACCATTTCTTGGATAGTTGGATATACATTTTAATGTTAATTTACTACTCCCCCACAGATATTACTCCTTAAAACATTATACACCAGAGCATCTTTTAACTTTCTTTTTGTGACACTCAGTATAAGTTATAACTATAGGTCCTAGTTAATACCACAAAAAAATCTGTTTTATTAATATATATATTTAATATCTCAATAAATTAAATAGTTGACAACATAATAAATCACCTAAAAATAACAAAATGATCTACACTAATACCTATACAAATTATTTGTTTAAATATAAGTTTGAAACTCAATTAATCTCATCTTGCGGAAAAATCTTGTACGGATTTAAGATTTTCTTTGGATCAATAGTATTTTTTAATTTTTTCATTAGATCTATTTCTAAATTGGATTTTGAATATTTTAAATATTTTCTTTTTAAAAATCCAATTCCATGTTCAGCACTTATACTTCCTTTGTATTTACTAGTCCATTCATATACATAAGGTTCAATGGCCGAAGCTATTTCAACATTATGTTCAATTGTAGCCACATTTAAATGTAAATTTCCATCACCTACCAATACAAATGTGTACAATATAAAATACAAAATAGATATTAAAATGAAATTAAAATGTAATATTGGTAAAACAATAAATACTTGATTATTACCTAAATGTCCATAGCCACAAACAGCTTTAACATCTAAATGTTTTAATCGTTTCCTTATTTCAGGCACAATCTCATAAAATAACTCATGAGGTAAAGTTATATCATATTTATAGACATATCCATATCTTAATAAACTCTCAGGAATATTTTCTCTTATTTTCCATAAATTCTAAACATTTTCAATTTTCTAAATAAAATTATTTACTTTAACGTTCATTTGTATATTATTATATTTTCTCTATAGTTATTCATTACTTGAATTAGTGATGGTTGGTCTGCTACAGTAGCATCTAAAATTAAGTTTTCATCTAGAGCTTTTTCTAAAAATTCTTGAATGGAATGACTGATATAATTATTATCACCTGATAATTCTACAAGAACGTAAAATTTCAGATTGTCATTTATTGGACACTTAATGCCAATATTTTTTTGCACACTTTTTATTGCTACAGCGTCCATTAGTTCAAATGATGAAAGACTAGCAGAAAATTCTTTTCGTACTAACGAGAAGAAACTTAATACTTTATCAAATGATTCTAAGCCTGTAAATAAATAATAATGAACACAATCAGGTACGTCATTAGGGTACAAGTTATTTGTTTTTTTTTGGGTTGCAAAAATAAATAAATTATGTAATTATTTATAAATATATCAGAAAATTGGACAGCGCCATAAATTACTTTTAATTAAAATAATTTAATTCAAAATTATTGTGATGTTACATAGTCACAGCGTTAACACTGGTTTAGATTTAAAGTATTTAAAAATGAATTTAATAAGAAATTCAAATAAAATAATGAGAAACACAGTACATATAAATTACACAAATTATGAGTAATTACAAATGTATACCATACAAAAATCCCAAAGCTTGTTGGCACTAGCCACCATTACACACAATTGTAATTTATGACATTAGAAAATTCAAAAAACTTGTGGAAAATACGTATTGATTTTACAATTTTTTTTTTTTTTTAAAACACCTTTTGGAGCAGTAATAGTTTTTTAATCTTCATTTGATTATTTATACCACAAACCTATTCATACAGTTCTACGGTAAATCAATACTGACTCATAAGTTAATATAAAAATAAAATAAATCTAATGTTTTCAGTTATAATTAATTCAACCTACAGTATTACTAAAAGCAAAGATAAACTACTAAGATAGCCATATAAATAAATCATTAAATATATGTCGACAGACCGGTTTCGCTCAAGATCTTATTTTGTATGCGATTATTTATCATTGAATTGAAATTTATCCAATGACAATTGACAAGGTACATTCAACTCCAACTAACTTGCTCGCTTATTGTTATTAAACTTTTCAGTTCTAATCTGTACTATTAATAATTGCAATTAATACTACCTACTCCTTTAAAATTATTATTAGTATATAGTCGGACTAATTAATTATTAAAATTTAAATAATTTTACTCAGTTTTTGATTAGGTATTCAAAATAAAAACTGGTGGTTTTTTCTTATAGCATAACAATCTAATTAAACATTCTTTTTTTACATTAAGTCTGAAGTTAAAGTTAGGGAAGAAAATATCTGGTAACAGGCCTGAACATAATACATTTATACTATAATTTTAACTCACCAATAAATGATACATTAACAAATTTTGGGGTGTTTGGACATTGAATAGCAATTTTTGTAATAACTCCCAATGTTCCTTCAGAACCAATAAACAAATGCTTCAAATGATATCCTGTATTGTCTTTTTTTAATGTATTAAGACAATCTAAAATTTGTCCATCAGCCAAAACCTAAACATCATAAATTAACAATGTAATTATACCTAATTTATAATAATTTAAATTGAATAAGCATAAACAAAACTACCGCTTGTAATCCTAATACGCTTCCGTGTAGACTTCCATATTTAATTAATCTTAAACCTCCAGCATTGGTTGCTAAATTACCTCCAATCTGACAGGTGCCTTTTGCGCCCAAATCAAATGGCATTATAAACCCTTCGCTTTGAACATAATTCATCAAATTTTCTAATACACATCCAGCCTGGCATACCAAAACACCTAAATAAATTCAATTGATAAAATCTAACTTAATGTCAATCAATATGTACTATGCAGGTAGTAGGTATCTCCTAGTAACATAATTGGATAAAACGTGAAGGGTTCAACAATTAATTATAGGTATTCCTTGTTAAGCAGATTTGAAAAATATAAAAATATTTGAGAAATAAGAAGATACTGGATAGCTATTCTGCTAATTAAACTATGCCGTGTACGCGCACTTGGCTTACTTTATTGGCATAGTACTATTCCACTAAAATTCTCGCTTGGCATACTTCGCGTACTCGGCGTACTGTGCTTTCTTAAAGTATGCTAACTACGACATGTCGGGAGGCATCTCTCTTGACTTACTTAGGTATTTAATTTAATAATCATTCAAAATTGTTATCATAGAACTTCATGTACGCTTATTTCAAAAGTATGTGAAGTATGTGCGTACTTTTTCACAAAAAATAGCAGAATAGCCCCCCAGATACCTACAGAACCATTAATTGAATTTTGGAAAATTTTAACTAATAATAATAAAACATCCAAATAGTCTAAATTAATATTAGGAAGTGCAATTTTACCCACATAAATTATGCAACAAGTTTAAATAGTATACATTGTAATTCAATAAGTATAATTTTTATATGACATATTTATATTTACCTGATAATTTATTAAAGCTAATAATTGAATTCATTGCAGAAGTGGATAAAATTACTTCATCAAAAACAGGAACACTACCTCCAACAAGACCGGTATTGCCACCTTGTATACAGACTGCTATACTGCGCTTATAACAATATTTGAGAATCGTTGATACTTGTTCAGTTGTTTTTGGTTTAAGCACATACTTACTGAAACCTATAGTTACAAATTATCCATTATTAAAATAATATTCATTGAGATTTTAAATATTTACCAGAAACAGATTTTAACCAATCTTCGTTGTAAGATTTTACTTCTTCACCAGTTATAAAATTGGTAACACCTAAAAGGTTTTTGAAAAATTCAATATCTGTAGAGTCTACAATACCATATGATCCTCTTTTTAAATTAGGAAATCTTTCTTTAGTTAACTGAACATTTTTATACAATGCAGCCTTAGTATAAAGCTTGCGAACATTAAAGAAATTAAATGTCATTTTGTATTAAATTAATCAATTTGAAAACAATGAAATTAATTATGAAACAATATTTATTTATGTAATCATTTTTGAGTCTGTTTACCAAACTTTTTTAAATTTTATTTTGTTAAATCCGGATAGTTAAATGCAATTTTAAAAAAAAAATTAAATATACATTTGTTAACAGTTTTTCATTATTGGACTAAAACAATATTAAGTAGCAAATTTATCAGATTTATTTAGAATACGCTATGCGCTGTAGCCATAAAATATATTATCTAAGTAGCTTATTGTTCGTAAAACGTGGGCACTGGGCATATTATGAACTTTATAAGTAAATATAGTAATCACTGTTCTCGGAGATAACGTTTGATACATTTGAACTAAAAGGAAACTAATTAACGTAATAACTATTTAATAACAATAATATACAGCAGTCAACAAGTTGTTGACCTTGGTCGGTGGTCCTCACTCCTCGTGATTTTCATTTTGCTAAAAACAATTAACATTAATTAACAGGATATAAAATAAAAACGCTATCAAGCATATTATTATCTATAGAATCTTGTATTATTATATTGTCCACAATCTATATAATTTTTTAAATCGTGATTATACCTATGTATTAACCAGGGGATAAATTATCAATAGTGCTGTAAGCCTTAGACGTAAAATGACGTATAGTTAACGTTTTTATGCTTATGTCATCGAGTATCAGAATATTATTCAGAATTGATCAGTAATACTACAGAAAAATTGTCTGTTGTTGACACTTGTGAGTTGTGGTATAAGTGTGTAACCCTGTAACATTAACATAAGAATAGGATTTTTTTTTAGTACTAGGTACAAAAGTAAAAGAGAATTTTGAAAAAAAAATTAATTTAGTATTATACTTTTTTTTGTATAGTTAATCAATACCACGGACTTGGTCCGTGATCAATACTAATACAACCACGATGTAAAGAACTATAGAGAAGATTCTCCACATCATGAATACAACAAATCGAAAACCATTTAAATTTTAAACATAACCTATAAAAGATGAGTATATTACACGGACCAAGATTGTAAAAAAAATAACTACTGAATGGTTGTTAATTTGTTATAACTTATAAATAATAATTTCAATTCCTATATGAGCAGAGTAGCAGACATTATTTGGTGTATGAACAAATAGGACCCGGGTCATTGAGATCCCAACCATACCTATGGTAACAACGTGGATCTAGTTGTCTCGGGATCAAATTATCGAGCGGTGATCTAAAAGTCCTGATAATAAGATGTCTGTTATCACATTTTAAAAAAATATTATAAAAAAAAAATACATTACACTCGAGCTCTGTATAATTATAATTCATTTATGTAAATTTATTACAAATGCCTATTATAGTTTTATACACTTTTGACTTTTGAGAATACAATAGTTAATTTTGAATAATTATAATATGTAAGTACTTTGAAGCTAAAAATAATACCCTTTTTTATATTAATAAAACGTATGTACCTACGTACTCTTATATGGCTTATTGTATTTATTTAAAGTAGGTAGGTATTGCATATTATTCTTAAGAAAATTAATATTAATTCTGAATTTCTGATATCTGAATAATTATCCCTAATCTCGTATTTTATATTTATTTGTGTCTGTGAGCCTAGGTATACTCTGTATTATTTAACCTTAGTGTGTAACACAGTGGGGAATTATTTATATATCAAAGTTTCGCCCAAGTGACGTTCAAAACCACTACCTCGTAATTAAGAGTTTCGTGTTATTTAGCAGATTTGTATCAGTCTGTTTTTACTTTTTTTTAAACGTTTTCAATATGCATAGTTCATATGACATATCTATTTTTATGTATGGCTAATTTTTAATAGTTCAGTATGTTTCTTGCTTTTTCCTTCAATTTAAACAAACAAATCAAATCATTGAAATACAATTAGGTTTTTTGTATGATTTAGGATGTTGCTTTTCAAGTAGACATACAATGTACCTAATTTAGACTTTAGCTATCAACAAGTTCTAAAATATCAAATATTTTAGTCATTTAGAAATAAACTCTTTAAATATATTATATTTTTGAGATTTTTTCTTATTCATTAAAATCTGACATGAATTGAGTGTTGTGATAAGTAATGAATAAAATAGTAAAACAATCAAATCCATAGCCCACGAGGTCAAAGCTTTGCTTCCCTATTGATCATATATTCCTTCTTACTAGCATACCAGTGGTTATATAGTATGGTACCTATAACCTATTGGTTACTACTGTAATAGAAAAATAATTTATATTATTAAATTAGTTTTAATGATTAATGTTTATTACAATATATTGTTATAATAGGTTTTATAATAATAATATATTATATGGGTAATGTGTAATATGTATTTGTTTATTTATTTATTTTTATTTTATCAATTAGTAACAAAGATACTATTATAATTATTGTTTACAACAATGTATATGATCTTGACATCTTGTTAACATTTACATTATTTTTGTTAGTGGCTTAAAATGTTCATTAATTAGAATTTATAAATTATAACCATTAGAAGGAGCCACATCCCGTAAAAAATCAAATACAGATATATATATAGAACTTTGAACTCATATAAATTATAATTATTATATTTTTCAAGTCAGTCACTTTAGTTACCTATGCCTAATTTTTTAACAGAAATTAATAGTCAAAAACTATTTATGTATATAATAATTAATAACATTAGTACATACAAATAGGTAATAGTAATTTACAATCACCCTATTTGAAAAAAAGGTTAAGATTACGGTTACGTGGTAAACCACACAATAATTTACACTCCAAGTCTCCAAGGATAATGTGTGAATCATTAATGTTTTTGGTAAAAATAGTAATCATGACAACGAAAAGCTTATAAAAAATTGGGGAAAAGTCAAAATATGTGTACTTGGCTCAAAAAAAAATATATATATATATTAAAATATTGTATTTCTTATAATCAAAGTCATCAACTAATGTTATTGCACTATTAAAGTTTGAAATGTGCATCATTTAAAGAATAAAAATGTTTTACTGTCACAAAAGTATTATTTATTTAAATAAAATAAAACAAAATTAATTTGGAAATTAACTTAAAAATACAACAATCTCTCTTATAGGTTCTCGGCATAGTGGGCAAACCAATCTAGTTAACCCTTCATAGCATGCACCACATAAACATGTATGGTTACATGGCCGTAATACCACATTTGATTCCTCGTTCAAACATGTGACGCAGACAATGATTTCTCTCATATTTTCAACTGTAAAGTAAAAGTAAGATAATTTATAATATCGATACAGTCATAAACTGTAGTATATTAAGTGCATATTAAAATTATTGATTGATGTGTGTGTGTGTGTGTGTGTGTGTGTGTGAAAATGTGAACATATAATTTGTTTTATTTAAATATTCTCTAGCTCCACTCAGAATTTAAAATAAAGAGATAGTATAAAGATATTAAATAACTATTGTCATACATTTTCACATTGATAAATAAATATTTTAAGATGTTAACCTTCTTCATTCGGTCTCCTGAAGTGAACATTAATTGATAAATTGTCATAATTTTCTATCCTTACTGGTTCTAAAATAAATAATTTATTTAGTTCATGTATAAAAAGACAAAAAAAAAAACAATAATACTTATCTTCAATAGCAATCTAAAATTCTAAAAGAATTTTTAACTTATAATGTTTACCAATTCCCAACTATACTCTTTTCAGAATAAGAACGCACCAGATTTACGTAACAAAACCGGTTTTGTCTGTCTGGTTCCTTCTTATTCTGAAAAGAGTATATCATTCAATTAAACAAATACAATAAATACGTAGGAGTTTCAAGTTGTCTAACTGAGTAAAAAAAATTTTATCAACAGTGAAATGAAAATTTAAAAAAAAAAAAATCCATCTAAAATATAAAACTTGTTTTTAATAATTTATTTTTGTTTTCCCCAATTATTGAGAAAAGTACTAGAATTTTGTCCTCCCAGGAGTACCAGCTAGATTCCTATCAGAAAATATACTTATGTTGAAATTTATTTTCTACTTTAAATTGTGTATACACACTACTACCTAGTAAAATTAATACATTAATAGCTCTACTCTAAATTGAAAATAATTGAAAAATGAATAAATAGATAGTATGGAAATATTAAATAAATATTGTGAAATCAGAAGACAATCCACAACTACTCTAATCAACATTATTTAGATTGTGTTTCTTTAAATTACTATAGTGTCTACCATGCTTTTTGAGTAAACATTATTAAAATTAATGTTTGATAGGTTTATAGTTTCAAAGCTAGTCCTATATTAAAAAATGAATATTAGTATATTACACATTGTTAAATAAATATTTTAAGAGGTTATTTATTACCTTCTTCATTCTGTCTCCCGACATAAACAATCGACATATCACCATCGTTTTCGGTTCCTATTGGTTCTAAAATAAATAATTTACTTAGGACATGCATACAAATTCAAAAAAACTATAATAATTATCTTCAATAGCAATCTTAAGGAATTATTAACTTATATAATGATTACCATTTCCCAACAATCATTCAAATAAATCATACAATTTACAAATATAACAAAGACTGGATATAGCCAAATATATTTTATTAAACTTCAGTCAATACTAAATGTATGCATAACTATTCTAGTGAATATTAAAAAAAAAAAGTACTGACAAACGGGCTGATAATTGTTTTGTGAATAAGTATTAAATTTTTAAAACAAAAGCTACATGTGTGTAAAATATATATTAATCATAGATTATAAAGTATTATACTAAGTTCAGTATCTTACCTTGTCCAAAATACTGTGGTTCATATAGCGGTAAGGGTGACATCAAAGACAGATTATGGTTTAGAAGTACCTGCTGGAAAAATGGAGGAGGCGATTCATAACCATAATTTTGGCTCACTGCTGGCTCTACAATAAATAAATAATTTATATTTTGCTTACAGGTACAAAAACAAACAAAAAAGTAGACA